CCTCACAGCTTAAACCAATCAGTTCAAATGTACCCACCTCTTGAACTAACCAATCACCCTTACCCAACTTGTTCCCACCAGAGAATGTGCAAATCAATCTTAAGAGTTTTTGTTAGATTTTCCCATGGTGTGAAATGATTTGCTGTCTGATGTGATATATAGAGTATCCCAAGAAAACCTATAAATTCTCACTGAACTAAAGGCCAGGACTCACTCCCTGGGACTGCTGCATCCTAAGTGGTTGTGAGTCCAGGCTCGAGCTTGCAATAAAGACTCTTGTGTGATTGCATCAGATTCGGCTCCTGGTTGTCTATGGGGTCCCATGAATCTGGCATTACAATAGGTACTAAAAAGAAAAGAAAAATTGGAAGGGAGTTGTTAGAGACACAGCAGAGACTCCTAAAACCTTACACTACCCTTGGGGACAGGGATAGAGAAGCAGGCTTTGGTTCCCCTACAAGGTAAAGGGTGTTTGGGGGGAATTGGCTTAGCAAACAGGCTTGAGAAGTATAAGATTTTTGCTTAGTATCTGGATGGCCATTTTAAGTGACAGGAGCCATTTTAAGGATAAAGTTTGCTTTCCCACCCAACCCTAACCACCCATATTAGGACCCACCTGGCTCCGATTCCTGAGCCTCCCATGATCGGGTTCCCTGGTGTGCCCAATCTCCCCTTTGAGGTTCACGGAGTTTCTCTGGGGCCCTAATCTGGATTCCATTATGGAACCCACTTCTCCATTCTGCTGAAGGCCTTCTCTACCCCCACCACCAGACATTTCATCTCCAGTCAACCTAAAGGACCTACAGTTTTCAGGAAGTGATGGTTGATCATCTGGCACTCTATGTGATTGGGGGCACCCCCAGGCACAACATTCACAGCTACTGCTGATCCCTCCTATCGACTCAGTGTATAAGTGGTCATTTATTTGAGTCCTGGGTTTTGAGACAAAACCACTGAGGATGATTGGGAGCTGTTCCTGGTAAGATGACCTCTCAGCCTTGGGTTAATGTCTATGGACTTTTCCCCCATCTATGGGTATCTGGACCTTACACGGGCTTTTGCCTCTAGTACATTGTCCTGGCTGGATCTGAAGTGCCTCTATGAGCTTCTGGCCTTACACTTACCCCACAGGGTTGACAACCACTTGAGCATAACCATGCTCTCAATTAGGTGATACTCGGAGACTGGGGGATGGCCCATGTTTAAATTCACATTAAATTCAAATGTCTCATGAGTGGCTCCTTATCCATTCCCTCCCAGAGTCCTCTAGGCTGCCTCCTGGCTCACCTAGGGTCTCTCTCACCCCAGATATAAACACCGCAAAACTTATCTGCTTGTGCAATTAGATCTGTCTTAAATATCCTTTGAATAATGACTCTTAATTGCCACTTGAGGGCACTCTAGAGCCCAATGTTTTCAGGGAACTCTTCAACTATTGTGAGTGTTTGGGAAAATGGAAAGAGATGTCATATGCTCAGGCCTTCTCCTTTCCATGTCCTAATCCCTCTCTCTCCAGCTCTTGCTCTCCCACACAAGTCCTCTCATCCCTCACCTCCCCTACACCTTCTTCCAAAGGGACAGAAGATTCTCCGCAGGACTCCTCCTCCTTTGACCCAGTGGGTGAGACACCCACCTTGCCACAGTTCTCTTTCTGATGAAGCTACCACAACAGCTGGCCCCTTGGCCCCT